AGGGGGGGGCAGCCAAGAGGCCAGGGGGCCAGAGCCAGCGGCTAGGCTTTCTGAGTCCTGGGGCTGTGCTGGGAACTGTACAGAAGTTTACCTAGATCAGTCTTGCTGGACCCAGTCTATATTGGACTATCTCCAAGGGACAATTAACTTAGATCGGGTTGGCCATTTTTAGGCTGATCTAACCGTCCTGAACTTCTGTACCATTCTCACTTAGATCAACTTAACCAGGGATCTAAGTGTAAGGTCCATGCCTGGATGAACTAAGTTAGACCAGGTGGCCATTTTTAATGCAATCTAACCTCTCCCTAACTTCCCCAAACACCTGCATGTGCCCCTAGATTTCAAACCCTGTCCCTGTTTTTTGCCTGTCACAGGGGATTCACTGACCTGCCACAACAGCACAATGTTTTCAACCAAAGACCAGAACAACGATCTGGATCCAAGTAACTTTCCCAACACTCTGCGTGGAGGTTGGTGGTTCAATGCCTGTCTGAAGTCTCACCTGAATGGGAAGCATTTGCAGGGAGCCCATGATCATCCTAATCATGGTGTGGTCTGGACCCAGGGCTGTGGGGACAAGTATTTCTACAAGGTGTCTGAAGTGAAGCTAAGTCTTGCTTCCTAGCGTGAGATGGCAGCTATAAATCTCACTCTCCCAGGTGTGCTGAGCTCCCTTCTTGTGACCTAAATGGAAAGAGCAACAAAGTCTCTTGATGTAGAGACAGCTGAAAACAATAGAAGCTGCTGCTCAAAAGTCCCTCTGAATGTATGGGGCTCAAGGGGGTAAGGCATGTTAGCTTCTGTATCCAACAGCACACAGGGGAGCAACCAGGCACCCATTTAGATTGAGTAGCATCAACTTTTGGTACAAGGCTTGAACTCAGGCCCCTGGGTCCACATTGAAGTGCCCTATTCATTCTGCTGTCCCCACCTGTTCAAGCCACAGGCCCCTATAATCAAACCTGTGTGAAGAAGCTGTGTGGGCTGAGGGATTCTGCTCTGAGGTTTATGCACCCTGTAGTATCCATGGGGCTAAGGGCAGAACAGGGAGGTTAACTGACTGCTCAGCTGGGGCTGATTGCTGGCCCTGCAGCACCTGGAGTCAGGAGGAGGCTGCAGCTGGGGGCAGGGGAGGTGCTGAGAGGAGTTGCTCTCAGCAAGCTGCACAGGGAGGCTCCTCGGATACAAGTGGGGAAAGCTCCTGCCTGGCAGGTGAGGGACTGGGAAGAACTGGGTTGAGCTGCTGCTGGGTGCAGTGCTTGGGCTGAAGCCAGTGAAGCGTGGAGGCAGGTTCCTCCAATAATCCCAGCAAATGGGCTGGTGAGTCCTCCACTCTCAGGACAGAAGGACAAAGGGATATAAATGGGTGGAAAGTAAAAAGTAAGAAATCCAGAACTGATGAAACTCATAGGGTTACTATATTTCCAGGAACAAAGAAGAGGACACTGGGGGAGAGGGGTATATGATTGTGGGTGGGGGATAGTGATATGCCTGTTCCCTGCCTCTGCCCCTCACTCCTAAGCCCCTGTCCTCCCAGCCCTGCCAGTGCTCCTCACTCCCAACCCACAGCCCCCTGTCCCCCACCCAGCACTGCTGGTGCCCTTCACTACTGACCCAGAGACCCCTATCCCTCCAGCACTGCTGCCCACATCAGAGTTTCCTGTTCTGCCTGT